ATTATAATATATAAGTTTAAAATATACAAAGTAATAATCTTACAATGAATTTCAATTTAGTATATCACAAGGAAAATAATACAAAAATTAAAAAAAAAATGTTTAATTTATAAGATTATTTTTAAATTACATCTATAGATTTAATTTAGCTAATTTTGAGTACAATATAGCACAAATTGATTAATCAACATGTCATGAAAAAATCGATCATTTCAGAAATATTTAAAATAAGGGTTGCRCATGAGCAAAATACAAGAGTTAAAAAATTTTAAGTCATAGGAATTTAAGATCAAATAGTCTGGTTTAATGTCCTGCAAATAGAATCAAAAGATATTTACAGGGTTATCAGTTAATAAGTGTACACTATTTCTTAGGAAAAAAGGTATACAACAAAGTAACTTAGTATTAATTGTCATGTATCATATTAAACAAGAACTCAAGAAAGGACACAAAAAATTCAGCCTACCGAGTTTTTTGTGCTTTATCAGCCAATCTATAAACTTAATATCAATAACAATCACAACCATATACTATGGACTGTGCAAGTCTAATAGTTACGCTTTATTTTTTCAACTTTAAACCCCTTAGCATATATTTTCAGTCAAAAGTTTCATGACTTAAACGGCCCAAAATTGTTGTACTGAGTTTTATTCGGTAACCCGCCAGGTCAATCTGACCCTGCAAGTACTTATTAAAACATAAATTAAAAATTTTTCTTTAATACTAACTTTTTCAAATTATCACCAGTAAATAATCTTTCTGGCCAATATTCTTCGCGTGGCTTTGTTCTACTTGATGTTTGGCAGTACCATTCAACTTCAACTGATGAAACAATAACATCTTGAACATACACTTTGACCCACTAAAATTYATAAATACAATATGAATAAAACATCTAAATTAATTTATATAACTACTTTATTTAATTACCTTGGACCCAAATTTATAACTGAATTTCTTCTTATAGTTGTGCCATAAACATTTCATAAGGTTACTGATAGTTAAAAATTTTGCATTTTCTAAGGAATCTAGACACATTTTTAGTTTTTGCCCGTGATAGAATACATTGTCATCAATTGAAAAACTCTATTTTTAAATATTAGAATTAAAAGACATTTTTTGAATTATTTAATAAATGGTAATAATTGATAAACAATAAAAAGTAAATGTATGAAAAAATAATTTTATTCTTTGATATTTGAATAATTAATATAAAAGTTGACTTACATCACTTGTAGATAGACTTATAAAGTCTCGTCTATATGGATCCTCTAATGTAAAAATAGATCCATCTTGAGAAGCAAATGTAACTTTACATTTTACATCATAAACTCCACCAACCCATGATTCATAAAAAACCGAGGAATCAATTGCGAAGGGCTATAAATTTAATTTAATAATTAATAAATTATACTTGTAAAATGTATACCAATAAATTAACTAAAAACTGTTATTATATTATATCAAAATAACATTTGATACTAGTAAAAAGCATTAATTAATTTCCATTCTAAAATACATAGAAAAGCATCATACATACTTCATCACTTGACTTTACACTAACAGAATACAAATTACATACAAAAATGCACAAAAAATAATATAAAAAAGCATAAATAGAGAAATGATATATATGAAATTCAGGAACAAAAGAACTGAATTTAATGTGATATATCCTATCATCATATCACTAAGTCATTGATAAACTTATATAATATTGTTTGTTTTAAATTAATATAATATACAGGGTGATAAATACTACCTAACATTCACCTATAACAAACAAAACACCCAACTTTGGGAGGCTATATCTTGTAAATGGATTAACGAAAAATGAAAATTTTAACGTGAAATTTCATTGAAAAAATAGCCTTTTTAGTTTATGAAATTTAAAGTATAGGTTCTCATTTGAAAATCAAAAGTTGATAATGGTTTACCTGATAAATATAAGGGTTAAAATATTTAAAAAATTTATAGTTCTAGAACAAGATGGATTTAAAATTTT